GCAGAACTAGAACATCCCAGGCCATTTGGCTGGCGAAGCTACACACTGCCCAGTGCACTCTGGTCCTAGCTCTAGCCTCTGCAGGTTTTGTTGCTTCCTAGCTCTGCACCCCAAAGCCATACTCTGATCCTCTTCATCCCCATCCCTTGCGGAAATGCCACCTCCTAGTTATCTAGGAACTGGGGAGCCCATGGGAGCGCTGGGGAGGCCATGGCTCCTGCATCCATCAGGGCCTCCTGGTCCTTCAGATGTCGCTGGCCCTTTCTTCCCCTCCCCTCCTCTAAGATGGTGCCATTGATGTACTGAGGAACCTCACCCATGCTTGTCATGGACTAGTCACCCTGTGCTCCTGAAGCCCTGGTTCCCTCACACCCCTCCCTCCTGCCCTGAGGAAGCCCCATGCACCTCCCCTAGCATGACTGTCTCTCATTGCTCCATTGCTCATCTCTGTTACATTCACAGCAGTATTAGCTCCCTTTCCCTGGGTGCCTCATGGACCAGAGGCCACGTTAGAAGCTTTCCTTATAATAGCACAGATATTTCTGTCAGTGTTCCCTCAAAGAAAGTGTCATCCAGATGGACATGAGAGAGAACGGGTTGGGCCCTTATAGTCCTAGAGCTCAGGAGCTGAAACAGGAGGATCGCCTTGAGTTCAGCCTGAACTACATAGTGAGTGTAAGCTCAGTGTGGAACTATATACCAAGACCCCATCTCAGAAAGGGAGAGGATGATCATCAGAGGGGCTTAGGGACTTGTCCAAGGCAGCACAGTGGATGGGGAGGGGCGGAGCTGATCCAGCTCACCCTCTTAGGTTTTCACAAGCTGATTGTCCCACCAAGCTCCTCCACTTGAGGCCCTCAACCCTCAGGTCTGCTGCCTCTCCTCTGCCACTGTCCTCTGCTGCCCTCTCTTCAGTTTGCCTTTCCCTTCATCCCTCCATTTTTGCTAAAACTTTATCTAAAATCCATCAGAAGGATGTGCACTGTATCCCATCTGTGAATCCCGTGCTCCTCCTGCTCAGCTTTGCTTGTCCCTACATACCTGGGTGTTCATAGAGCTGCCTCCATCTGTCACTGTAGCCACTTCTGGGGCCCTGCATGCTGGACTCTGTCCTCAGCACTCATAGCCACCCTCTCACCAGGCTATGAGGCCACAGCCTTGCGCATATCTGTCCTTGACCTCTAAGAAGCATTGATGCTGAGCTTCCTTATGGCTCCTTCAGCTTCCAGGCTCCTGGCCTCCCAGCATTCTATTTCATAAAAGGAGGCAAAGAGGTCCTTGGCCCACACAAGCACTGTTTTGGTGATGAAAAGCTGTTAGATTTCATACACCTGAAGTTCTGTATAAACAGGCATATTTAGACTTCCTGTCTATTTAGCCATCAATCACTCTAACAAAGGTATTGGTACTAATAACTCCCATGTGTAGCAATTCATACCGTGCACAGTGCTTTTCATGACTCTTCAGAATCCCTATCTGTGTGCAAGGAAAAGACCTTTGTGTTTGCTCAGTGTGAAGTGGGCATCATTACTCTCTGCCCTGGTAGCACTACTTGTTAGCCTGGTTTTGATGAGGTGGACTAACTAAAGCCCTCTGGGCACTGTCAATTACATGACTGGTCATGGATAGGATATTGATCCTGGGAACAGGACCAAAGGACGCTGATCACCTCAGTGTTATGTGTTCGTAACTAGGACTTAGGAGAAGCCAAGGCTACACAGGAGATGTAAGAAGTCACAGGTAGGCAGGCTGAGACATAGCTGCAGGATCTGAGACTAGGATCCACATGAAGTGCAGCCAGACCTGGCTAGTGTTTGACATTCCATGTAGGCTACACTTCTGTAAGGGAGAGTTGGAAGCTTTAAGTCAGGGTGGCAAGTAGTTGTCTTATTGGCAGCTCCCCTCAGCTGGATGACTTGGAGGGCTGGGCGGCCCTCAGAAGGAGGGCTCTGAGGCCAAGCCCCAGCCCCCTGGAAAAGAGCTCAAGTATGCATGAAGGAGGACACAGCATGTTATGTGTGCCACATCTTTGCCCTAGCAGCTTTAAGTTTTGAGGGTGGTGGTGGTGTGTGTGTGTGTGTGTGTGTGTGTGTGTGTGTGCATGCACTTGTGCCTGTGTGCACACACACATGCTTTGCTGGCCTCATGCTTGCTAGGTATCCCCCTTAAGCTGTCTGATACTAACCCAAATAGAACAGTTAGGCATGTCATTAGGTCTGGAATTCGGCTGATTCAGCAGTTTCACCCAGCATGGACCTCAGACTTCCTGTGTTTTGACTTGCATTGGAGTCAGCAAACATTGGACACCAAGTGGCTACAGGGCTGAGGATTTCTCAGTGTCAGACAGTTGCACTTGTTTGTTGGCCTCCAGAGTGGGCAGGCTGTTCTGGTTTGTCCAAAGCCATAGTGCCTCCCCACATTCCAGCTCTCTGCCTGAGACTTCACTACAGGAAGTGTGGTGGGTCCTGCTTCTCTATAAGAAATTGTGTGACTTCTGGCAAATCTCTAGCTCTCTCCTACTTCCTGTCTGAACCCTCGAGTTGTGATGGAGTCAGCCCAGAATGATCTCCTTGGCTGGGTTTCGGAACTCTGGGGCCTGCACAGTGTCAGATGTGCCCACAACAGTCGCTGTCGTGTCAGCCATAGCCAAAAAGTATCACAGGTACCTCTGCCCAGCGTGCCATTCCTCTGCCATGAGCAACCCTGTTTGTGCCCATAGCTGGTCACAAGGTACCAAGTCCTGCCCTCCTTCGATGCCCTTCACCCCATACCCAAACCCTTCAGTGGTGTAACATGCTGCCTCCGCTCTAAGTCTTTGATGTGTTGGAATATTGTATTGAATTTTATTTGGATACTTTTATATTGCTACCAAAAGCAGGATCGGAAAGGAAACAGTACCATTTCAAGCAAAATGGCCCCTCCAGCCTGTCCTGTATACTATAAACAGAGGACAAAGGGTGGGTCTCAGCTGTAGAACTTAGAATATAAAAGGCCCTGGGTTCCAACCCTAGCACTGCCAAAAAAACTAACTAAACTTCCTTTTTACTTCTTATACTTTTGCATTGTGGGGTGATGCCATATGCAAGCCCTTGAGAGCACCAAAGCCAGATTGAGAACTTAGCTTTGGAGCCTGAAACTCACTTTGAAATGCATTTTAAAATTCGGATTGGTGGGTGGGTGGGTGGATAGATGAATGGATTAATGGATGGATGGATTAATGGATGGATGGATTAATGGATGGATGGATGGATGGATGGATGGATGGATGGATGGATGGATGGATGGACAGACGAACCAGTGGACATATGATAGGACCACCCGTAGCATCTACTTTTGGTGAAACCTGTGGTGCACGTGTGGAAGCTCACTGCAAGATCCTTTGAACTTCGCTACAGGTTTGGAAACTTCGTAATAAAATGTGGGGGGAAATTGCCCCTGACAGGGAGCCAGTTTAATTTAAACCAGGCCCTTGACCAAGGCAGCCCTGAGGCTGGGGCGTTGGAGCTGTGCTCATTGGATGCATTTCATCTGTGAAGACTTCCTGTGGGGGTTTCTGCTATCCAGGCCCCAAACTTGTGTTGGTCACACACTGGTAGAAAAGGCAGGGCAGTTCTCAATCCACACACACGTCTGTGAACTTGTGCTGCCTCCCTCCCTGTCCACCCTGGTGACCCTTGCGCAGCTAGAGCTCTGCGCTCCTACAGTCCCATGCCATCTTCACACAGTCTGAGCTGTTCCTCAGCCTGCTCCTAGCCTGACTGCCTCTCCTCCTGCCAGGAGTCTTGCCATCTGCCTCAGTGCTGCCTGTGAGACGTGCCAGGGCTAGGCCCTGTGGGCAGGTGGAAAGGCCATCTTGCATGGGAGGCTAGGAGACCCAGCAGCTGCAGCTAAGTGGCCAGGGAAAAGGCTCTGGAACTGGGTCCTCTCCTGGGTCATGCTCATTAAGAGTCACAGAGAGGGACTAGCAGCCAATACCAGGAGGAGTGGCTCAGAAGTGGAGGGATATGCAGAGGCCCCCTTCCTCCTAGCTGCCCACGCTGCCCCTGCAATCTCCACTAGCTTGTGGACAGCTGCTCAGTAAATGCAACTCTTGATTTTACTAATGACAGCAGCTTTAGCAAATGGCATTTGGAAGGACAACATGCTGCAGAAATAGCACACAGGAGACTTTTTAGAATTAGGAGCCATTTGTAGCACCATACTCCAGCCTCACCGTGTATTCCTGTCGTGTATTGCTCTGCCATCTGCTCCTCCATCCTCCTCTGGATGGCAGGATCATAAAGCCTGAGGAAGAAGCCAGCAGCTTACTGGGCAGAGGGAGGACAGCTGTGCGAGTTTTGGGTTGTGGTTGTAACAAATTACCACACAGTTAGTGACAGAAAGCAGTGCGGATTTACTCTCTCATGGTTCTGGAGGTCAGAAGTCTAAATTCATTTTCTCTGGGCTTAAATCAAAGTGTCTGCAGGCCACACTCCCTCCTAGGCTCCTGGGAGAATGCACTCCTTGTTTTCTCAGCTCCTAGAGCTACATTCCATGCGTTCCTTGGCTTGTGGCTCCGTACTCCATGTTTGAAGCCAACAGCAAAGCATCCAGCCTCCTGCTGTCCCTCAGCCACTGTAGTCCAACCTCCCTCCCTCATTTCCTCTTAAAAGAAGCTTGTGACCCTCTACTCAAAATATTTACCTTCATCTCATCTGCAAGGCTTTGCCTTGTAACAGCCACAGGTTTTGAAGATTAGGGTGGGGACATATCTGAGGACCAGTGTAGGCATAACACCTGGGTCCTGGTCCTGTAACACCTGGTGGCCACATGGTGCAACAACTTGGAGCACCAGCCCAGACCCTGCCAGGCCACAGTTGTTACTCCCTGCCAGACAGGCTGGGGTAGAGTCAGAGTCTCCTTCCCTGTTGAATCCCCTCTGTTGCACATGGTGGGTGCTGGGGGTTTTGTGTTCAGACAGGAAGCCCAGCAGGCTCTGATGCACATGTATGTCCTCGTAGGCCATGGAGAGTGTCACTGTGGAGAATGCAAGTGCCATGCAGGTTACATTGGGGATAACTGTAACTGCTCAACAGACATCAGTACATGCCGGGCCAAGGACGGGCAGATCTGCAGCGACCGTGGACACTGTACTTGTGGGCAGTGCCAGTGCACAGAGCCTGGAGCCTTTGGGGAGACATGTGAGAAGTGCCCAACTTGCCCGGATGCTTGCAGCACCAAGAGGTAACGGCCCCACTGCTGCCCTCACCCTGGCCTGTCGCCTGGCCAGGCAGCCCCACCTGCGTAGCCTGCCCTCCCCACCACCTGGCCACCCACCCAGCCTGGTTCCTACTAACTCAAAATAGCAGCATTGAATGCTGGTTCCATGGGGATTTTGTAAGAGAACAAAAAATGGAACATAAAAACAAGACCACTGCTCTGTTCCTGAGTTGAAGCTACAGGATTACTGAGTTAAGTGAAATTAAACTGGTATTAGTGCCAAACAGTGCCTCCTCCAAGCATTGAGTGCACTATTGTGCATTTTCAAAAGGGAATGCGATGTGCACCTTTTTTCCAATGAATTTGATCTTCCTGCTTAACATCTCCTGCACAGTGTTTCATAGAAACCCCGTATGGGAACTGCTGCTTTGAACAAAGCATCATCAGAAGGTAAATGGGATAGAAAGGCACCTGGCCCAGATAAGGCCCGCCAGAAACAAGCACAGTGGCTCTTGGATTTTCTGCTCCATTTATGCTGATAATGGAGCACCGGCTCTGCATGGCCACTGAATGAAGAGATTGTCTGCACCCGGCTGGCTGCCACTGGCCCATTCCAGCTCATGGCAGTGCTGGCCTCCTCACAGCTCTCCTGCACACACCAGAAAGTGAAGGCAGGCGAGTCACAGGAGTTGGGTACGAGGTTCCCTGAGAGGAGGAGTGACATTTAACTCTTGCAGTCTCCTGGTGAAACAGCTGTGTCATCCTCAGTGCTAGGGCAAGAGGGAGCCAGGGGCACAGGAGATCTGAAACTCATAATATAGACTGTTTCTCTCTGGCTGGGGAACACACAGTGCACTTTCCTTTTGGCAGATTTCCCTTCCAAACGTCCGGCTCCTGCTGATAATGAAATGAGTTCATGCTCTCTGAGCCCACAGTGGCTGCTGGTTAGCTTATGCTCAGAAGTGTCCTGGGGCGAAGCTTGGGTTGGATCCAGACCGTCCAGGCGGTGTAATTGAAGCTGGCTGCCCATGGAGAGACAGGTTCTATCTTGCATAAATGCAAGGGTGGGAAGAGTGAGTTAGAAGAGCAACCTGGAGTCTGCTGGGCAGGGGAGTGGCAGGGGCCCAGGTAGAAACCACTCTGGGAAAAGCCGGGGTCCTGGGCACAGACTCAGGGAGCTAGTACACTATTACCGAGGGAGGCACCCCCAGCTTCCTCTAGCAAGACCCTGGAGAGTCTCCCTCCTGGTCCTGGGGACACGGGCCCTGGGCAGTGGAGGCCAAGCTGGACAACACAGGGAATGAGTTAAAGGAGCAGGAGCCTCTGGCTTTTCTCCGAAGGAGCAGCAGGGCCATGTAGGGTCAGCTTCCAGTCAGTTAAAGGCCTCTTAGAAGAACAACTTGACATTAAATATGTCAAGCATTTATTTCCTAGAAGACACTCATAATTTATTGCCCACTGTGCACTACCAGGGGAGCAGGAGGGCAAGGAGAGGCCACAGTGAGCATCCCGTCCCTTCTTGTTTTTGGATCGCACTGACCCTCTGTCTTTCAGTCTCATAGAAGAAAATTTTCCTTTAACAAAGTCCTTTTGATAGTAATTCACATCAGGCCATTTTCCCAGTTGCTGCTTTGCTGAGAGCCACTGGGTTTCAAATCTCCTGCATCTTTTGTTCCTGGAGTTTCAGGGCACTCAGTGTCTACTTTCCAGAGCTATCCGCACGCCCTTTCATGCTTGCTGAGTTCACGCTTGGACCCAGCTGATTTCAGTTAGCAGGCTCTGAGCAAAGTTGCAGGGGCTTTTTTTTTTTTTTTTTTTTAAGCCAGACTTATTTGCAAGGAAGCATAAGCTCTAGGTTCTTACATCCCTGTGAATAACGAGGGGTGCTTCCAGGAAGTGGCCCAGAATCTGAGCTTGCCTACAACAGGCCTATGGATCTGAGGCCACCTGGTAACATCCCTGCTGTGTTGTATGCGGATCCAGAAGGCTGGCAGAGGGGCTGGGGACACACCCTCCTCAGGCCACCAAGCTTCCCCCCACCAAGTCTAGAGCCCCAAGGGTGACCTGTCTGCTGGGCCATTTGGCCTGACCTCTTGCTGAATTTACTTCCCACGTGGGCTCGGATCTTCCCACACCTTCTAATAAACCCTGCAGTTCTTAGCCTACTTGGTTCTACCTCCTGCATCCTCCTGCCCTCCTCGATGTTGCTTCAAATGGTGACTAGAGTTGGGCTCAAAGTATAACAACAGCCACATAAATGAACGTTGTAATCAAACATTTACACACACTGGCCTAAGCTGCAGTGGGAGGACTTTAGAGTGCCTCTTTCTAGTTATTGCATTTTCTAGAGAAGGCCCTCATGATAAAGTGTTACCCTGAACCTCCCTTCCTGTCCCTGGGGCAGACTGATGGTCAGGGAAGTGGTCAACATGGCCCTTAGGATCCTGGAAGCTGGAAGAGGGACTGGGCCTGAGATGCCCAGGGGTAAGCAGTTCTCACCTTTCACTGTGCTTTAGTGTCAGCTAAGGCCCTGGCTCCAGAGAAGCAGGTTCTGTGGGCACAGTTGGGCCCAGGCTTTCGTGTCTCCCCTGTCAAGCCAGTATACTGGACAGTGCTGTACCCTCCCCAGGGTGTGACTGGGCCAGGCTCCTGGGAGTAACCTTTCTTCCCCAGCCACCTATTCGGAGCTAATTTCTCAGCCAGGTGTTTGATGGTTGGTAGAGAGCAGAAGGACTTGGGTCCAGGTGTCCAAATGGGAAAGGTCTGTATCTCCCAAGTTAGCCTGTGATCAGATATGGCCCGATACTCATGAGTATCTCCCAGGAGCCCTGGCGCTTCCCATGGACAGTAGCAAACAGGCAGAGCAGAGGCCGGAGACCTGAAGATGGAGCAGTTAAGCTTCTGGGACCCTCATTGTCTAGAGCTCAGTTGTAAGTGTGGATGTCACACAGTACAGATATGTGTTCCTTCTTTTCTCAAGGGAGTGTGTTGAGTGCTTGCTGGTTCACGCCAGAAAGTCTGACAATCAGACCTGCCACCACCTGTGCAAGGACGAAGTGATCACATGGGTGGACTCCATCGGTGAGTATCCTGGCTGGGCCTGGGCATTTCCTCTTCCGCAAGCAGGAGGGTGATCTTAGTCTTTAGTTAGAAAGCACAGTCTGGCTTTCTTCCCAATCTGCTGGTGCACCCGAGGGACACTGGCCTGGAGCCCCCACACAACTGGCAGAAGCATAAAGTGCAAATGCTCTGGAAATTATTTTGGCAGCTTCCCAAAAGTTAGGCATAGAATTGTCACATAGTCCAGAGTTGCACTCCCAGGCTTGTACATGCCCAGGAAGGTGGGCCTGTGTCTATCAAAACTGTTACACAGTGCTCATAACAGCATCAGTTATAATGGTCACAACTTGCATACAGAGCTGGGGATTTATCTCAGTGGTGCAGCACCTGCCTGGCAAGCATGAGGTCTTGAGTTCATTTCCTGGTACCAGAAGCAAACCTTAGAAACAACTTGTGTCCGTCTGCTAATGGTTGGCAAACCAAACGTGAGATAGCCACAGGACGGAACTTTATGTAAATGAGTGAAATACTGACACATGTACAGTGTAAGGCATTATGCTAAGTGAGAGAAGCCAGGCAGAAAGGAGCATCCAGTTCTGTTGTGTGGAATGTCCAAGGTAAGCAGAGGCCTTGTGGCACAGGAGGCTGTGGCCAGCCAGGTGCTGAGGATCGGCATTGACTGCCAGCTGGTGTGTGGGGATTTGTTTTTGCCGTGATGGAAATGCTCTGAAATTAATAGGGATACTTATGTAACATTGTGAATTTACTAAAACTATTTTGAAATGGTTAACTTGGAGAAGAGAAGCAAAGCCATGCACCTGGCCAGAGGAGTGCCCCTCGGGCTCTGACTGCTGGCAGGTGCCCTCTGCCTGACTGCAGCCACAGACTCCTCTTGTGAGAGCAGAAAGCTGGCTTCCTGCGTCCCGTGACCCGCTTCCCGATCCAGTCCTGGGAAGTGGATGTTGTATTTCATTTGCCACCTTCCTTCCTTTCCCTGGCTTCCTCCCCCACCAGGGGGAGGAACTCAGGCCCCTTATTCTACTGAGCCATCTCCCTACCCCCCAACCCCCGGCTTTTTAAAATACATACACACCTTCAGCTCTCCCAGGCTCATGACAAAGGTGCCGAGGAATACCAGACCTTCATGTTTGCCGCCCCACTCCCATGTCTGCCCCCCTGCTCACAGCACTTCTGCTCATCAACCAGGTGAATCAGGCAGCTGCTGAACAAGGAGCATCCCGTGCCTTCATACGAGCCTTCTGTCGTTCTGTGGCTGCTGTCTTCTTTCCTTTTTCTTTGCCTCCTGCTTCCTCCGTTGCCTCTCTTCCTTTCCTCTCCCAGGGAAGCGATGGGGCAGCTGAGGAAAGGGCTTCTCACATGGAGCACCAAGCCCAGCAGGTGTCCAGAGCAGGACTGCAGTATGCTAACTCTTGGGGTACAGACACCACTGTGGAGGCAGCCAGTCACCCACCTGTCCCCTTCATCCCAGCTTAGGAAACAGGTGTCTGCCAGCCTCTGCAGTGCTTGAATTGCTTATCAGATGTGGACTCTCTCAATCCCCAAAGGAGATAGGGGTCAGGGAAACCTTTTCTTTTTATCCCTCTGATTTCCATCCAGTTCCACTCATCAACCATTGAAGAGTTCTTTTATTTTACATCATCCTCAGAAAACATTTCAGAGGGTTGAAGATCTGATGTGATCTGGGTGTGTCCTAAGCAATGAACTCAGCCCTGGGTCTGGGAGCTTCACATGACAAACCTGAGCGCTTTTCCCCACCTTCCCTTTGGAGCTCCCTGCCCCCTTCCTTCTTGGAGGTGCCTAGCTCCCCAGGAGACCCTGGCCACTGTGCTGCCCACTGATGTGCTCAGAACCTGCTGCTGCTTCTCTTCTAGTCAGTGATGAGCAGGAAGCCGTGCTGTGTTTCTACAAGACCCCCAAGGACTGTGTCATGATGTTCACTTACGCTGAGCTGCCCAGTGGGAAGTCCAACCTAACGGTCCTCAGGGAGCCAGGTGGGTAGGAATGGTTTCTGGTGCTGTTCTGTGCTTGTGGGCTCACTGTCCTCTCACCATCCCTCATGAAAGGTGGGCTGGAAGGCTGCCACCACCCATCCCACTCCCAGGGCTTAGGAGGAAATGGTTACACGGCTGATACCCGTGGCAGTGACAGCTCAGGCAGTAGGGAAGCCGGGGCCTGCCCGTGGGAGCATCATCTTAGAGGAGACCGAGCACCCTCAGAATGTGTGACTTTTGTGTCCTCACAGGGCTGCTATATTGGACAGTGTCCCTCTGAATGCATGTGTGGCCCTGGCAGCTGCAGCTGCCACCTCCCACAGCAGGTTTCACAAGGACAGGTGGAGCTGGACGTAGCCCTCCAGGCTGCAAGGAGGCCAGGCTCTCTTCTAAACACTGACACTTCTGCCTTGTGTTTGGGCCAAAGAACCAAAGCCGTTGCCAAGGAGCAACTGGGATTCCTCAGCGCCATTTCATTCGTCTCTGGAATGGGACAGGGTGGTGAGGGGAGGAAGCAGAAAAGGGTCTGCTGCCTTCAATTCACAGCATTGCAACCTCTTACTCGAAATTCAGCCAAACCACATAGTGACCCTGCTGTGGGCCAAAGGCAGAGGAAGGTCAGGGCCAGCCCAGGATGCATGGCTGTAAGAGTGAGGCTTTGCTGCTGAGCTCTGTCTTTGCAGTTCTGTGAAAATAAATACATTTCCTCCCAGGGCTCCATACTTGGGGCTCAGCAGTGGGTGCTGCTCCCCAGCCACGCCCTGTGGAGGTGGCTTGTGCTATCCCCTGCCAGCGCAGGCCACCCCTGAAATCACTGACAAGGAGGCCTGAGCCAGGGAGACGTGGCCGTCCTAGCACTGGGACTGTAGATTTTGCTGGCAGCTGACCATGTGACCTTGGGACAGCCACATCCTTCCTGGACTCTTTCCCTGTCTGCACACTGTAGGTAGCATCTGCCTCTGGCCCCCATCCTAGTATTGTGGAGGCAACAGGCTCAGAGAGCAGAGGAAGTCTCCAGAGACGTGACCTTTGCCCTCAGACACGTCTAGGCCAGAGGCAGGGTGCGTGGACTATGGGGTGCTGGTGTCCTGGCCCACAGTCCTCCTGGTTCCCTCCAGAATGTGGAACGTCGCCCAATGCCATGACCATCCTACTGGCTGTGATTGGCAGCACCCTCCTGATTGGGATTGCACTCCTGGCCATCTGGAAGCTGCTTGTCACCATCCATGACCGCAGAGAGTTTGCCAAGTTTCAGAGTGAGCGCTCCAGAGCCCGCTATGAGATGGTAAGCCTGGGAGAGGGGGCAGAGAGGAAACTTCTGGCCTAGAGACAAGTTGAATTCAACCCTACACTAATGATAAAGGTCCTCTGGCATTGTTGGCATTAAAAACAGTTGGGCCTGGGGATGTAGCTGTATAGTAGAGCACTTGCCTAGCATGCAGAGGCCCTGGGTTAGATCCTTGATCCCCACTACCAAAGAAAAAGATGAGATGTCACACACCCACAAGCCTTGCAGTCCTGGGCCCAAAGGGCCTGTGCAGCGCCTGCCCAGCTGGGCTGGGAGAGCCGTGGGGCAAGAGTGCATGCCCCTCTGTCTACAGGAAGGCTCTGCACAGGTTCAAGTATTGGGGACTGTTCAGGCCCACAACCTCCCAAATGAGTGGACTGTGAAGACTTAAATAAAAGAGATGAGGTGCATGATTTTAGGGCTCTGGGAGAATCAAAATACTCTAGCCAAATTTAAGATTCTCTGGGGGCTGAGATAAAAAACTTCTCTAGGTGGCCCATATTTACTTGGTTTTCTTTTTTTAAGATTTATTGGGCTGGGGAGATGGCTCAGTGGAATAAGCGCTTCCCTGGCAAGCGCAAGGACCTGAGTTCAATCCCCGGTTCCACCAAAAAAAAGATTTATTTATTTATTTGGTGCAGGGTCTCACCATGCAGCTTGGACTCATAGTGATCCTCCTGTCTCGGCCTCTCCAGTGGTGGGATTACAGGCGTGCACCACCACACCCAGTTTCATTGACCTGCATAGCACAGGCCCCACACAGCATGTAGTACTGGGGATCAAACCTGGGTCCTTGTGCTTGCCGGACAGGCACTTAGACCACTGAGCTATCTCCCCAGCCCATATTAGGTTTTCAAACAAAGGAAAGGGATGCTAAGGAAAGTGCTAAAACTGAGCAGGACTTGGGGAGTCAGCTCACACAGATGGCCCCAAGTAATAAATTATGCTAATGAGACTCTCTTATCTCCAAGTCGATGTGAGACACCTGCAGTTACAGTCTCTCTCTGGTAAATTGGGGTTGGAGCCAGGTGTCCTCAGCAGTGGCCTTATCTTGCCCTTTGAGGTATCACAGTCTCAGGCCACCACCAACCTCAGCCGGGACCAGTGACTGGTAGAGGTTCACTTAGTATGAATCTGCTGCTCTTGATCTGGTCCACTGTGGTTCTCTGTTCATGTGAGAAAGCTGGTCTCCACAGGTGGACTGCAGGCTCAGAAAGAGCCATGCACAGATGAAGTTCCTACTGAATCCCCACTCAGTGTCTGTTAAAGTTGAAACCTTCTGACCCAACTCCTCATTCCCGAGTGGAGAAGAAAAGGGCCGTCCAAGGACACAGAGCCGATCAGAGGCAGAGCATCCTAGAGCAGGCGCTCCCCTCCTACCTGCGAGCTCTGCTGGCCGAGGAGTGGTGCCTGGATCCAAATCCGTTAGGCTGGATGAGGAACTAACCCATGTCTTCTTACCTCTGTGTCCACAGGCCTCGAACCCACTCTACAGAAAGCCCATCTCCACACACACTGTGGATTTTACCTTCAACAAATTCAACAAGTCCTATAATGGCACAGTAGACTGACAGCTCCTCCTCCTAGCAGGCTGGAGGGGATGAAGGACAGGGTCAGCCTGGAACGCCCGGGACAGCTCTCTACGTAGGCAAGCAGAGAAGCTCTTTGGGCAAGTAGGGCAAGGAGCTCACTGCTGCACAGAGGAGACCTGGCCATGCCACCTGGCTGCCAGGCCACAGCCATGCTCAGCCACCTCCCCTCCACAGCCAGGAAGAACAAGGGGACCACAGCGCTTCCAGCTTTCCCTATCACCTCCGGCTTGTTGGCCTGAGGAACTTCGGGGATGTTGGCTGCATCTCCCTTTCAGCCCATCATAGGCGGCTCCAGGAAGGATCAGAAGATGTACAACCAGCGTGCGGCCTGGATCTTTTCGTGTTGATCATTTTTATACGAAATAAAGAGATCATGCATTTATGGCGTGGCTCAGATTACTACGGATTGTCTGCCCGGGCTTGAGCCTCCCATGTGGTGTTTGTTGGTGATGGGATTGTTCAGTGTCTGTTCAGTGTTTTTGTAATGAAGAGGAAAGAGATTGTCTGCGATTGAAAGTAAAGACTGAAACCAAATGAGCTTATGTTGCCTGATTCTCTCTGGCGTGTGTGTTCTTGAGGAGAGGTCTTAACTGCAGCCCCTTGCGGACTGATGCAGCCATGTACCTCTCAGGGGCTGGACATGCTCGCTTCTAATACTCCAGACTGGGCTGCATCAGACAGCTTCTCGAGGTGCTCAAGTTGGGGTGGCTTCAGAGAACGTCAAGCAAGTACTCTGGCCCCTTTCCACCCTGGCTCAGAGAATTGTAGGCTAGAAAGCTGCAGAACCACCTTGTGGCCACCCTCATGCTCTGGTGTGCTGAGACCTGGCGTGGCCGGACTCTGGTTTCCACAGTCTCTTCATATACGTCAGAATCAGTAATAATTGCCTTCCTGAGCCTTTCCACCAAACTCCAGTGTCCCACCCACACTCAAAGCAGAGTATTTCAACTTTTATTTTCTGAAGTCCTTTTAGGTTCCTGTGTCAGACATGGAAAAGATCCCAGAGGTCATCTAAGCCTGTTCCCTTATTTGTAGGACAGGAAGTAGATTCTTTCTAGGGGAGGTGGCCTGCCCAAGAGTCAGGCCCATGACAATCTGGTAAAAGACCCTGTGCTCACAGCTGGCCAGAGTGCCAACCTGCTGGTCCTTGTAAAATCCCTCTCTCTTGGCATCCTCTAAGACTTCTGTTCCTGTACCCCAGGGTCTGTTTTCTGCTGTGGGGCAGATTCTCCTGCTCCATTTTACTGACATGGAAGACTATTGTCTGTCAGTGAACAGGGGTGTTTACCTGGGGCAGGCAGAGCAAATTCTGCGTTTCCTTCCTCTTGTGTAACTTGGGGAGGCTGCCCTAAGTCTTTTATAGAATAAAGTCTAACATAAGTGAAAACATAACAACAGATACATAAAATGGTGGTTTTTGAGACCTAAATTGAGAAAAAATAGTCTTGTCAGATTTCTTTCCCATTTGGTTGTGAACTCGGCAATACCGTGTTCGGGGCCCATTTTCTACAGGCAGCTCTGTGAGCGTTTGGCATTCTTGAACCCCAAACAGACACTGAGCAGTGATGGTGAACCTTTTAGGAACGAGTACCCAAACTGCACCACAAGCCCTATTTATTCATTGCAAAGTGCCAACCTGCATACTGAGGATTTGGTTCCAGAATAAACTACATCTTTTGTCTTAATACGCAGCACAGGGTCATTGCCCCCACAGTAAGGAATGACTGGCCCTCAGTTTCACCTGCTGAAGTCGGGAATTTTATCCATGACTAGAGCAATGACAGACAACCTTTTACTTTATTTATTCCCATAATTTTATTGAGAAATAGCAATGAGACAGTTTCAAACCAAATTGGTAGGACAGTTTCAATAACACATTGCATACATTCTTCCTAGTGCTTAATTGCTGTACAAGATGCGGACGTGATATCCTATTTACAAACACCATTAGAACAAATCCCTCTATTCATGAAGAGAATGTAACTGTATATCCTAACCATTTTGAATACACAGATACAAAATGGACATTCATCTGTATCCCCTTTTTTTGTTTAGTTCCGTTATTTGAATATTATAGGTGTGTTAACTCAGCAAAATAATAGTATTGGGTCTTCCACTTCACTGGCAATGTCAGAGTCCTCTACAGCTCCACATAACAGCATGGCTTTACTTCTTATAATTCATTTTTATACTTTTCTGCTGGATGGCTATCTTGGTCTTAGACAACCTTTTATATCTTTAAACCACGAGGACTGGACCATCCACCCACAGTGCCCTGCTGCCCTCTGCTGGCAGCTCTTGCCACAAGAGGCCTGGCCGTCTGACCCGCTCTAGTGCTCTCACGGCTCCCTTATTTCTCACAGTTACACAGAAAGCTGAAGGGAACGGCAAAGGCTATCCCTCATTTTACAACCAGCCCAAATGGTACTTAAGATTTTTATTGGCTTAAATATTCTTTTCTAATTATATGAAATTCTAGATGTTAGTAAAAGTCATAAAGTAATCCTTTATGATCACACTGCTCTGAGGTACCTTAGTTTTGACCTCCACTGTAGCTTGGATCTTTTTATTTATTTATTTATTTATTTATTTTTGTATTTTAGGGAAGGGCCTACAGGGTGTTCAGGGTCTCACTACTAGATCAGACTCGTAGTGGTCCATCTGTTTACAGCCTCCCAAAAGCTGGGATTACAGGCGCGCACTATCACGCCCAGTCTCAATTGCAGTCTCAGCTTACCCCAGGGGCAGGGCCAGCACCACAGGCCTGGGGATCAAGCCCCTGACCCCTGTGCCTGCTGTAGCTTGGATCTTAAATGACCCCAAAGGCCCATGTGTTAAAGCTTGGTCTTCATCTCGATGCTCTACTGGGAGGTGGAAATTGAGGCGGGACCTAGCAAGACGTTTTTCGGTCACTGGGCCTGCCTGGAGGTGGGAATAGTAGGACCTGCCCCATCCTCTCTCCTGATTCCTGCTGTGTGGTGAGCGGCTTTGCTCAGCTGCACACTGTCCGCAATGAAGTGCTGCCTTGCTCCAGACCCAAGCAAAAGGCCCAGTTGTTCATGGTCTATAACTTCCCAAACCATGAACTAAAGTAAGTCCATATGTTACTAGCTTGGTTATCTCAGGCATTGGTTAAAGCAACAGAAAGTGAACAGCCTTTGCTGTGCAACTTCTCAAGTCTTTTCTCCACACTTCCATGTAAATTTGAGCTCAGTCTTTTACGGATGGGGGGTTAGTGGTATGGAGTCAGGCTGAGGTGAAAGGGAGCATGAGATGTGGGGAGTGAGGGTGGCCAAGTACATAGCCATAGCAACGGCTGATACTCCGTCCTCTTGTGGCTGTGCTGTCACCTAGCAGCATGGCTGTTGTTCCCTGGGCTCAGGCAGCTGGGCACAGTTTCTCCAGGAACTTGGGCATTTGGTGAGGGATGGCCAGAAGGGTTCACACCTGTCAACTTACACCCACTTTGGAGGCATAATTTGGATTTTTGTGTATATCAACTGATGAAATTATTAAATTCACTATTATTTCTTTTTTAAAATTTTAAACAAAAAAGCAAGAAATAACAAAACAATTTGAAATAGGCTAATAAGAGAGTAACAGTATTCAACATGTTGCATATTGTTATATTCTCAGTAGTCAGGGGCCTGCCCATTAGCTCAGTTAAGTGACTTCTTAAACAAAACAATCAGGATGCTGTGGTTTGATCCCCAGAGCCTCAAGCCTTACCAGACCCACCCTGAAGGCATCCTGAGCCAGCGGAAAAACAAAAAAACCCAAAAAACTTATATTCACAGTAGTTGTTCAAAGTACAACATGCAGACCATGTAACTTTAACCTGCTCTTACTCCTTGGCTCCTTCTCACCCTCATTGTGAGAGCCTAAAAGAATAGATATCAACTGTATGCACTGTGATTTTCCCATACATACATACCAGTGATAAAGTTTAATTTATAAATTAAGAACACTAAGAGATTACTAATGATTAAATAGAACAATTACAATAATATGCATAATCAAATTATGTGAATGTGCTCTCAAAAATTGTACTATAAGGGATGAGAGATAGCTCAGCGGTCTAAGTGCCTACCAGGCAAGCAGAAGGACCCAGGTGCAATCCCCAGTACCACATCTATGCCAGCCACCAAAACTGGATGTGGTGATGCACGCCTGTAATCCTAGCACTAGGGAGGCTGAGACAGGAGGATCACTATGAGTCTGAACTGTGTAGTAAGACTCTCCCTCCATATGTAACAATATATATAACAGTAATACAT